TTTTAAAGTGGTTAGAACAAGGCATTTGGCGAGTACATGGAGTGGTAACTACTCCTGGGAAGGGGTTGTCTCACAGCAGCCAGATGGCAATGCATTGCCACTGCTAGTACATAACCGGAGTGGTGCACAATTCAGACCCCACGCAGCTGAACTTGAGGTACATGTTAGAGCTGTTTCTGGTCTGAGCTGTGATCCTGAGATACAACTTGGCAGCAGGAAAGAACCCAGAAAATGGATTCCACATAAATTCAAGGAAAGGCCTGGGTGCGCGTTGTGTGCAGTGGCTGGAGGCATCCTGAAGAACAAGCTCTGTCTTACTGGCCCAGAACGTCATCTCACATGCGGAGACGTGATTTCCAGGAGTGGAGTGCTGAAAAGCGCTCAGTCCCAGCAGACAGCCCATCTCCTTTAACGCTGCTTCCATCCTTTTAAAAAAAGATAATAGGCCGGGCGTGGTGGCTCATGCCTGTAATCCCAGCATTTTGGGAGGCCAAGGCTGGCGGATCATGAGGTCAAGAGATCAAGACCATCCTGACCAACATGGTGAAGCCCCATCTCTACTAAAAATGCAAAAAGTTAGCTGGGTGTGGTGGTGCACTCCTGTAATCCCAGCTACTCCAGGAGGCTGAAGCAGGAGAATTGCTTGAACCTGTGAGGCGGAAGTTGCAGGGAGCCGAGATTGCGCCATTGCACTCCAGCCTGGCAACAGAGCGAGACTATGTCTCAAAAAAAAAAAAAAGTAGAGATAAGAAAGATAGTGAGGTTGATAGAGGATGTTCTACAATGCTGTGTTCAGTGTACCCAATAAAAGTTCAAAGTTGCAGGAATGGGTAATAGTGTTTTCTGTTTGTGCAGAGGGGCAGTGCTGGAGGTGGGTGCTGACTGTCCCTTGCGTGCTGCTTACTGCTTGAGTGTATTTGCATGTGGACTGTGTCACATTTGTTTTTTGTGATACAATTTAATTCCTGATTCTGGTCTCCGGTAGCTGTCAAGATCAAGAAAAATAAGGACAATGTGAAGTTTAAAGTTCGATGCAGCAGATACCTTTACACCCTGGTCATCACGGACAAAGAGAAGGCAGAGAAACTGAAGCAGTCCCTGCCCCCTGGTGAGTGAGCCTGAAGTCACTTCAGGGGCGGGTGGGGTTTGGGAGGTTGCTGTGTGTGGCCGTCTTGTATCTTGTTTTGAATCCCTCCCAGATTTCAGAGCCCATTTTATGGTCTTAAGAATCTGCTCTTGCTCTTGGGAGTGTGAGGAATAGTTGTGATTCTCAGATTATATACAGTAGCAGAAATCCTTTCCTTAGCCAAAAGAGAGGTTAGAGCTCATTTAGTGCTGTTCATGTCCTTCGAGGCTGGTGCTGGTACTGATAATCCCCATTTTTTACAGGGAACAGATTGAATATAATAGACCAAGTCGTTTTATCAGACACTAAACCAAAACTTCCCTGGTGGATCTAATTTCTGAACCTTGTGTGCTCTCTTTAGCTTAAGTACAAAATCTAGACAAGCAGCAGCAACTCAGATGTGTCTTCTGGATGGCTTACTTTTGTCTCTTTTCCTCTAGGTTTGGCAGTGAAGGAACTGAAATGAACCAGACACACTGATTTGAAGTGTATTAAAATACTAAAAATCCTAAGTGTCTTTCGTCTTTGAGGATGGGAAAGGAAAATATGCTACCTGGTAGTGGCTTCTGGTGGGAACAGGACACGGGTCCTGTTGCTGCCTCCCTGCATCCTGATCTTTTTTTGAGATGGAGTCTTGCTCTGCCGCCCAGGCTGGAGCACAGTGGCACGATCTCAGCTCACTACCACCTCCGCCTCCTGGGTTCAAGCGATTCTCCTGCCTCAGCCTCCCGAGTAGCTGGGATTATAGGCATGCATCACCACGCCAAGCTGATTTTTGTTTTTTTAGTAGAGACAGGGTTTCACTGCCCGCCTCAGCCTCCCAGAGTGCTGGGATTACAGGCATGAGCCCCCGTGCCCAGCGCATCCCTAATCTTGAACATGATCTCAGTGGGCAAATGAGGCCATCTGTTTTCAGCCCAAGTTTGAAAATAAGGAGATGTGGGGAGGCCGTGATGGAAACAGCACGTGGGGTTAAACATACTGGCAGATGTGGGAGCGACGGTGGGGCATGCCGTTCAAACAGGTCCCAAAATGGGGGCAACATGGTGTAGCACATCTGCCACTCGCTAACTTGACTGACTGGAAGAAATGACTACACTTTTGCCCGTTTCCTCAGTTGCAAAACAGCCACATTAACACCTCTTTCATTGGCTTGCTGTAAGGGTACTGGGATGTGGGGGGACACGGTGGAGGGAGGTGCGCGGGTCGGAGTGGCCACCAGGTGGTGCTGTGCCACAGCGGACAGCCCCACTGGAACTGAGTCTACCTTTTATAGTGTGGTGTACAGTGCACTTGGTATTGTGTTAGGCATTTAAACGCACTCAGGTTGTGAGGTGTAAGTGCCAGTCTTTGAATATCTGTAGGGATTGTGAGGGGGTGAGGTGGTTTTGAGTCTGGTTGGGGGTCTTGTTTCCTCTGGGAGAGGGTGGGTACGTCAGCCCTCAGCCCCAGGTGTGGCACTGTGGGCAACTTTCAGCCTTCCCCATTCTGTAAACATTTCAGATTCCCAAGGAAGAGTGAGCGTTTAGCACATGGGTTTTCTTTGTTCCCAGCACATCCTCCAGAGATTCGCCCCAGCTCCTAGGAGACAGGCCATGAAGGGGTGTGTCCAGCCTTCTGTAGAGAAGGCCGCCTTTCATACAGTGCCTCCCAGCCCTGGCTTGTGACTCAGAGTCATCTGGGGCCCGTGGCCAGGGCTGACTGGAGGTTGTGATTGCAGTGGTCTGGGGCGTAGGTGTGTTTCCAAGCTCTCAGGTGGACACTGCCTTGCTGGGGCTTCAGCAAGCCCCTAAGTGCTGCGTAACAGGTGAATGAGGGGGGCAGGGATGGACTACAGCTGCTGGTTTGCTGACTTCTGCAACTCCCTGCTGAGCCTCTGGGAGGTCTGTCCCTGTTCTGGCTCAGCTTTTTGACACCTCTCTGGGTCAGCAGGCCTCCGGGGAAGCAGCTAGAATGGTCGTTGTCTGGCTGGGGGCAGGTGGGCTGAGCAGGTTTGGATATTCCAGGCTGCATTCCGGTGGCTGTGGGAATAGCCCTGAGGGAGAGCCTTCACAGTTTTTTTCTTCCAGTGCCATGTGCAGGCCTCCAGCCTCCTGGGGCTCCCCTGTACTGGGTTCAAAATCAGTCCTCTGTGACCACCCACTGCCTAGGAGGCAGGCCCTTCCCACTTGGGGGGCCTCTGAGGGCAGGGGCTATAAAGGCCATTACCAGAGCCCTACCCGAAGAGTCCACTTTCCCCAGCAACTGCAGGGACTGAGTCAAGAGACCAAGACCTTTTAAAATGAGGTTTTCACCCAAAGAAGTTCCCTCCCCTGCCACAGTCTCCAAGCTGATCGTCTGGCTTCTGCAGTTCTCCGGCTCCCCTCTCCTGTTCTGGAACTTTCTTGCTTCCTCTTCCACCGGTCCTAGTCCCTGATCTCACAGGGTCCTGTTCCCTCTGCACAGAGGCCTCCCCCAGCACCTCCCTCTTTGACTTCCGATTGTCCTTCAGCTCATGTCACTGTCCTTTGGGAAACCCCGATGCCCACATTCCATCTCCTCCCTACAGCAGGGACTCTGGCATTTCCAAGGGCTGTAATCGCTGTTTGCAGGATGCAAGTCCACCTCACCTCACCTACTAGGTTGTAGACGCCGTGCAGGCGGGAACGTGTGTTTCATCCATTACTCTAGCTTCTAGAACAGAACATGCTCAAGAAAATTTGTTGAAAGACACCCCAATGAGAGAAGAACGGCTTTTTCCAACTTCCCGTGGCCCTCAGCTTTGGACTCCTGCAGGGCCCCAGAACTGTGGGATCACGGCCACGAGGAGAGGCCCCGAGGCCAGGACTCCCTCTAATGGATACAGGGCCCTTGAGCACGGGGTGACTGGAGCCCCACCCCCCAGCAGCCACGTGTGTTTACCAGCCTTTTCAGCCTGCCGGCATCCACCTGGTTCCTTCAGCCAGAACCCTAGGAGCCCCACCCCCATCCTCCGGGGGCTCCTTTCTCACCTACATCTCTGCCGGGGTCGCTATGCACCCCTCAGGCTGGCTCCGCAGTGCGGTCTCTACACCCAATCTGCCTCGACCCCATCACTCCACCCTACCTACCCCTGACCCCTACTTGTCCTTCAGCCTGCGCTCCTCCCTCCGCTGGCCAGTCACGCCAAGCAGTTTGTGGTTACAGGATGGGTGGGGGCCTCTGTATGTGTGCAGAGTACTGAGGGCCCAGGAACGCAAGGCTCCCCAATGGGCAACCTCCCCTGCCTTTGCTTTTCCCCAGAGCCCCTCCTGGTCTGCGTTCGGCATCTTCTCGGGTACTGTCATCACCCTCTGCAGTGCCTGCGCTCGGGGTGAGGGTTTTTGTCGGCTGTTGTTACGTCACCGATGTAACAGTGCCTGGCACTTAGTAAGTGCTCAACAAATGTGTTGTTGCATGCGCTTCGGTCTCCCCGAATGCTCGTCCCTTCCGGGCGCTCTCATCACTCTCCTACCTTCCCCACTACACAGCTCGAAGGCCCCCTCTTCCAGGAAGCTCACCCTGTCCCATTTGCCAGGAAGAATCAAGCAATTTTTCTCAGTCCTTAGGACACCTTGTCCTCACTCAGGCGCGCGGCAAGCAGCTTCAGTGAGTCGTTGGGGCAGATGCGCCGGGAGCTCCCAAGGGCAGGGACCGCGTCTTATTTCTCTTTTTAAGTCCACAGGGCTTGCACAATAGATGCCCAAAAAATGATTGAGAGTGAATTTAGAATGAGTGACCGAGTGGCTGAAGATTGCCTCCTTCCGTTCCCAGTCTGTCGGTTACTTACCCTGTGACAAACCTTTGGGACGGGCAGTCGCCCCTCTCTGGCCTGTGACTGCTGGCTGCCCCCACTGACACCTTATACCCTTGATCTGATCATAAATAAGCAGCCAGCGTCGGTGGACGGTGGGAGACCTGAAACCGATTAAGACCCTTCCCTGGGAGCCTTTCAAGTCCCTCCTTCTATCCCGCGCCAGGACAGACCCCCCCAAAAACTGGGAACTGCAATCGCCCGCGGGGCGAGGCCGACGGGCGGGGCAGGAGGGGGCGCGACCGGCAGAGAGGCAGGGCGGGGACGGGGCGGGCGCCGGGCCGGCCGGGAGTTGAGCGCAGCTGCGGCTCAGCGTGTGGGTCGCACTCGGGCCGAGCCATGCAGGCGGCGCGCGTGGACTACATCGCTCCCTGGTGGGTCGTGTGGCTGCACAGCGTTCCGCACCTCGGCCTGCGCCTGCAGCCCGTGAACAGCACCTTCAACCCTGGCGACGAGAGTTACCAGGAGGTGAGTTCGCGCCGCCTCAGACCCCAGCCACGCGCTCCCCAAGTCCCCGCACTACCCCCTCTCCCCTCGAGAGCCTGCACTTTCCCACGTGCCTCTCAGACCCCTTCTCTCCCCGCGCAGCCCTTTCCCGTCTCCCCTCTCCCCTTCTCCCCCACCCTCCCAGGCCCGTGGCCCGCGTCCCCTCCTGTCTGGGAACCTGGGGGCCCAGTAGACTGAAGAGATCAGAGTGAAGCGGGCGTGGGGAAGGGAAGGAGGGGCGCGAAACCGCCTGCAGGGACAGGGGCTGAACGCCGAGCGGGCAGGTTGGCGCGGGGTAGGGATAGGGGCATTCGTGTCGGGGTAATCCTGGCGCTCGAGGTGCGGGGATGCTGAGGGGGTGCCCCGGCGTTTTCGACCTTCTGGAGATTCCAAGATGGGGCGCTCTCTTTCCGAGGCTAAGTGGCCTGGGAAAGTTTGGCAGAAACTGAGTAGTCTCCCGAGTCGGTCTCCGCAGCACCCCTCCTCCCCAGTCCTGGCCTGCAGGGTGGGAGTCCCAGCTGGAAGGCTGCAGGGCTGGGGGAAGCGGCGTGGGTCACTTCCCCTCTAGCGCAGAGAACCCACAGCTGCTTGTGCTTGTTCCAGGGAAGGAAGGTGGCCTCCCTCGGCCCATCTCACACTGTCGTCCTGAGGACCCCCTTGCATTGACAGCCTCTCTGTGTCCCCTGGTCCTAGACTGGCCCGTTCCTGTTCCCCCACACCCCTCTCCCCACCCCACCACACCTTCTAAGCCCTGAATTTCTGGCCTAGGGCAGCCACTCCCGGCTTCCCCGCCCTTTCCCTACTCTGCTGGCCCTTGGCGGGATTCTGCACCCCACAGACAGGGCCAGGGCTCCCCCAGACCTCCCTACCCAGACAAACAAAGCTGCAGAATCTCCCAGCCTGTCTCAGGTCTGGTCACGCCTGCTCTGGCCCCAGTGGCCCACCTGTATCAGTTCCGTGTGTTAGGTCAAAGATTCTGGGGCCAGTGGCCCAGGATGGGGTCCATTTGTTCAGAGTCAGGCGCCCATCTCAGGACTTTGACCCCCGGCGGCCTCTCCCTGTGTCAAGTTCTCCAGATACGGGACAGGTCGGAGCAAAGCAGGGCCTCTTGGAGGGAATCCTGATCCAGTGTGAGGTGCCCAAGTGCCAGTGACAGGGAGTCTAATAATAACCCCTGGCGACCCGGCTGCCATCAGGCCCAGGCAGATGGTGCCT